AAACGGGTTTGGTATTCTATGCTTTACCTAACTGATTTCTGCCCTCTAAAAAAAATTACAGATGGTTTAACTTGTAGGGGATATGGGAGCCTAAGATGAGAGAAAGAGGGGGGTTAATGCAAAAATATATTTATGAGGGAGCAGCAAAGTTGGTCCAAACAGACATCATATCAATCAACAATCTTTAACCAAAACCACTTGTTCAAAGCACTGGAGTTGAAAAAGAAAGAATCCAGCCATTTACACAAGTTTTAAAACACAAAAGTCTGATTCAGCAACTTTAAATACTGAACTGATGTGAGGCAGATTTCTTTTTTTATGTATTTCACTGCAATGCTTTTACAACACTGTATTTAATTTGTAACCGTGATGTGCATACACCTCGATAAGTACTTGTGATGATTGTTGTGGTTCTTCAAAGTCTTTGAGTTCTTCATGGACAGCCAGAAGGACTTGAGCAGAAATCTGAACCACGGTTCTCTGTTTTATTGTGCCCCCTCCCTTTCAGGCAAAATCCTCAGGCTGTTTCCCTTCCACAGAATGTAGGGTTGTAGTTTTAAATTTCTCTTTCTTTATAAAAATATGGAATTTCTTCTGCTTAATTGAGCTCAGAGTCCAGTTCAGCATTTAATACTTATATATATTTTCAAAATGCAAAGTAGATTGAAAGGAAAAATTTGAAGTGAAGCTTATAACAGATTCTTCACCTATTTCATTTTGCCTCCTCTTGTCATCTAATCTTCAGAAATCCATAGCTCTGTTCCTTGTAGAGAACAGTTTATTTTATGTTTAGGTGTTTTATAATAGAGTGCTTATAATCTTTCATTTAATTATGTCTTAAAATGTGCTCATTTCCCAATTCTGCATTTAATACATTACGAGTTGCAAAATACAGGAAATTAAAACATTTTATACATTAATAATAGTCAATTGACTGTTGAAAAATAAGGAGAAAGGCAAATTTAAAATGCTGAAGAGTGATGTGAGGACGATGTTAACTGCAAAGTAAAAGTTAAAATGTAATTCCCACTATTAATTGTCAAAGTTTTTACTGCTTGTTGTAAGGATTAATTTGCAGTCCACCTCGAATCTTAATTTCCCCTTTGCGAGGGGGTGGGGCACCACAGTCATTATGTAGCACAGTAAGGTTAAGTGTAGAATTTTTTAGGAATGAAGCAAAGAATTACTCTGTTTAAAGTTATATGTCTTTGCAGCTATGCGTGTGCAGTTTTACAATTTTTGTTAGCAATAATGTTCATAATTTAGCAACATCGAGCAGTTGTACTGTTTAACGGACAGACAGATTATGTAAAGCTGATGGCAAAGATCGTATTAACAAGCAGTTTGAAGAAGAGGGGATGTTACTGAAATGGTTGTGAGAGTGTGAACCAGGTTGAGCAACTATGAATGTAAACACAGAAACAGTTGTTTAATGCCCACTTGTCGTGTTGGTGTCAGATCTTTGTCTTGAATGTTATAAAAAGGAGAGAGTAGTCAGATTGAGATATGTCGTCCTGCTGGTTGTCTACTTTGAATTAATTTTGTTTCCCTTAACCTGACATGTGGACTCATTGTAGACAGTTCAATGTTTAATTCCGTGTTCATAAAGAACATGCATAGGAAAACTTTGAAAGCATAATATTGTACCTTAAATGAGCATAAGAGTTTCAGCAAGATCTGGGTTATTATTTGGTAGGGTAGGATGGGGCATTTAACAATTCTGAATCAATTAAATCTTGTAACTGAATATTTTACGTGAGTACGATTATGAATATGAAGAAGTAACAATTTGAAACACAATGAATAGGCCATATACAATTTGAGTACTTTGCTGAAAGATCGTTAAGACAATAATAATTTTATAAAATCTGGAGGAATACATTTGTATGGATTGTAATGAAAGTTGCATCAACTTTTTAGTTTAAACTCAAATGAATTAGACTGTCTTTGAAAGGACTGATTTTGGGATCTATGTATTTCAATCCCCTTGGTAGAAAATTTTGCGACTGTGAGAGCTGTTAAATGTTTTTCGTTCTAATTGAAATCAAGGGGGCTCTTTTACAACTACATGTTTAAGTTCCACTGATAACAATGATGAATCAGATTTATCAGATTTGGCTTTGACCAGAAAATACAGGAAACTATGTGAAACAATTTTCTCTATTTATAATATCATTTGCTGCGGGTGGTAGGAATGACGTTGTTGGCAGGTGCGAGGGCAGACACCCCTAGACCAGACACAGCAAACACAGAGCCTGCCAAGGGTTGCTGCTTTTGTTCCTCGGCGGTAAGTCCCAGTCGAGAAGTAGTGACGTACAGAATTTCCCTATCGGGGCCCCCAAAAGTCACAGACGTGACTCGGCTGGCTGGGATGTGCACGCTCTGTATTAGCTCACCAGAATCAGGATCCACATTGATAACCTAAAAGAGAATAATCTTATTGCTTTACCATTTTACCCTTTCTTAATCCTCAAGGTGAATAGCCTCCTGGCTTATTATCAAAACCTGCGTTACATTTCATGGAAACACATGAAATATATAAACAAATACTAAACGATTATCATGGGGTATAATGTTGAAAAATCTCTGTTCTGGTAAACTGTTTTGAAAACCATAGAAGAGATGCTTTCAATAAAATCTCAATAGGCTGCACAGGTATTCTGGCCCAGAATTGGGCTCACCATGGAAAGACAATATAAGTAATTGACATGTCCCCTAATTTTATGGACAGAAAGTATTATTTGAGGAAATTTATAGAAACAAATTCTTTCAAGAGAGTGATTATCTGTTCTGTTCTCCACATTCACATGCCTAAGTAATTGTGAACGTTCTAGCTGATATAAAAAACAATATGTTGCTACATGTAGGTCACAGGCAATGTATGCACATAAGCGTATCTCTTCAACATAATATTTACTTATTGACTCTTACCTACTCAATCTTAAAAGAGAGCGGGAAAACTGCTAATATACGCACATTTCATTGTAATCACTAAAATTAATGCCATGTTATTGCCAATCATAATAAATTAGAAATACGGATTTGGTGTGGCTTCTATCAGTTTTAAAATCTTCCATGAGAATCCAATACATTGTTTGAAATTTGAAACCAGGACAATTGTGGAACCTCGGGGAACAAACATGTCCCTTCACTCCCTTAAGAAAGAAAAATTCATGTGGGCCTCCAAAGTTTAGTACCTGGTAAATACGTTCATGCATCTTACAGACAATTCTGTTGAATTGTTTACTTGTAGGAAGGTGTAACGTTAAGATCTGTACAGACCTGGCTGCCATCAAAACAAGCAATCCATAAATTTCCTCTGGAATCTATAGTCATTCCATCTGGGTGACCTGGAACTCCATTCTCTGCAAGATTGAAAACTTTTCTCCTCTTAGCTGGAAATAAGTAAATTTAAAATCAGTCATTAAACATTTAAGCTAATTATTTCTATCAAGGGGAACTCTTAGTACGTAAAATGTTGGTACCTCTTTTCTAGTTTTCTGTCATTCGTAGCGTCCTCTCACTTTCACGGACAGTGACTGGGTCATACAATAACCAGTTTCGGGTATTCTCAATAAGTGACTGATGTGTGTTAGTGTTACTTCTGCACAGACCCACTCTTCGCCAATCTCGTGTGCAAGCTAAATTCTTCCGCTCTTTCTGCTGTTGAGGCCCTTTGACTCAACATTTTATCATAATGCATTGAAATGTGCGCCATTTACGTGTGAGCCGCATCACAATTGCGATACAAACCATCACTTTTCATGTCATTGCGGATAATGTCAGCTTCATAACCACTTCCAGTCATGTCAATGAGACACATTTTTAGGGTTACACTATAACTTCCATTTCCAGCAAAGACTGTGTATAAAGACATCTCTGACACAGATATACTTACTTTTCTTTGTCTCTTAAACATCTGGGAAAGTGAGTCATAAGAACTTGGCTTACTCATTCATGCACATTTCATCTTTGTTGCCATGTATTCTATTCTCCTGAACCAGGCATTCATTACGCTTCAGAGTAAGCAAAGAATGTGTTCTGGCACATCCTGTCTGCCATCTATCAGTGGCCATACAAGGTATTCATGCTGCCACCTATTAATGGTAATATAAACCAGAGTCTAAACTCATTAGAGCAACACATTTTTCCCACTGGCGTTAAAAGTGAGGTTGGTGATAACTAGACTGTTTACTTTGTGGCATATTTGCACTTACTAATTCATTATAGTGCCAGATTATCAAGTACAGTGGTTGGAAGATAAAGGGTTAATGAAAAGGTAGTGGTCCTTGCTGCCTCCACCATCAGGGCAATTGCTTATCACTCTGATGATGGAGGGAACAAGGCCCTCTGAAACGTCAGTATACTTCTACCGGCCTACACGGCGAAACAACCCAGGAAGACAGCCATCTTCATTATTCCTTCCAGACATACATTTTTCTCGCATCTTACAGACAGATGGCTCTTTCTGTGGCACAGTTTTACTTTCAAAGTACCAAAAATCAGCAACACGTGCGGATTCTCTCACAAATCACGGTGAGATTCTCTGACCTTTATCTTTACGAGTTAATAAAACTGTCATTCTGTATTGGTGGTCGGAACTACCAACATTTGAACAGAATAATACAGACAGAGCGGTGGAAAACCTGGAACTAGGTCCATTAGTGTAGACTAGCAAAACTCCTCTCGTCAGCTCACAAAATTGACGTTCTGATGTGCATGGACGACCATAAGTTTCAAAGTCCTGTTCACTGGTACCTTGAGTAAACAAGTTGATGGAACTATCTGCTATAACGCAGGCCTAGTAACTGCCAGCATCCGTTCACTCACCAATCGTGGCTTGTTCTAGATCAAAGTCAAAGACATCCACCTGGCCAGTCGCTGTATCGATGAAGTACATGAGAGTGTTGTCGTCGTTCCATGCCAGACCATTGGAAATACTCACTGGCGACACTTCAGTGACAGGATTATTGTCTGCTTGCAGGAGATAGAATGAGCCTTGATCTGGAGTGACGTAACCAACTACGGGCTCAGGGCCCATTGTGCCTGAAAACATGCATGAAGCAGTGATCAAGATTGTTGACTGTAATTTCCACCCAAACAAGTTTTAAAAAGCCCCTACGGTCACATTGGTTGTGGTACGCAAGCTACCATTCGGGAACCAGAGCTTTCAGAGAACACTGTGAGCCTTTACTGTAGCTTCATGTGGCTGTTATAAAACTTCTGATTAATCCTGAAGGATAGTTTCCCAAACCATTTGAAAATGTTTAAATTTAGCATTGCAAGGGATTGTTTCCCTCACTCTCTCACTTCACGCAGACAACAACTAGCAGTGTTTATTATCAAAGTGCCTGTCCCAACTGTAGAGATAATTGTGAGGCACAGTTAATTAACTGATATGTAATTTCTACACTCTGATGCATCGTTCTTCTCGTATGTGTGTTGGGCATTCTCATTCAAAACAATTATGATCTAAGTCATTCAATTTTCATACATTTGCAAACAGTAGCTTGCTCTGGTACAACCAAATAAGTTGAATTCATAATACATAGAGATGTAACTTATTTTGTAGACTGCCTTTCAAGTTTACATTTAAGAAGACGTGCGTTCGTACTTATAATGTCTTCTTTCCAGCAAGCTAGCTCTATACAAAAGTATTGTTACCACTGACTCAACTTTGAATATAAGTAAATTTCCTTTAAATGTTTATGATTGCTCGGCCTATCGAGGTATGCCCTGCCGTCACGGAACCCGGCAGTCATTATCGCGTCACAAAAGCAGGCCATTCCATTGCAAACCCCTCTCTCTTCCTGTCATGTGTTCTGGCCAAACTTCTTTATGCATTTCTCATTTCCCCAAAGAATGCTGTACCCCATCCACTTCATCGTTCTTGAGTTACACAACATTAGATTAGTTTAAATAATGATCTCATTATCATTTATACTTCACTCTGTGCTCATATCACTTCCTGTCTTTTAGGCCCAAATACTATTCTCGGCGTTGGCAAGTTTCGCCCAGGGTACGTACCTGCCCACAGGCGTCCTCTAGCATCAGCTTTCCCATCATTCCACCTGTTTCCAGATTTGTCTGCACTTGTCTCCACAGTTGCAATAACTGAGACGTTCCTGCTGTTCGCTGAACCGTCAAAGGTTGCATTTTCTTGGTTCCAGTTGAACACAATCACTTCATGCCCACGAGTTGTCAGCAACTGCTGAGTCTTCGTTCCTTGGACTGGTATCACCAGACTGACCCCACCTCCAGCTGGAAAAAGGATGAAACAAGTCCTTAAAATGGGTCCAAGCATACCAACATACTAGCACTTAATAGCCAAAATTATGTCCGCGGTACGCAGAGGAGCGTCCTAATAAATAATAGGGACGAGAGATTCATAAGCAAAACAGTGTAATATGCCACAACAATCACAAAAGGAAATTATTAGAATGTTAATGACCCAGAAGAAGATGACAAAAATAAATCGAGTCCCATGGTCAGACTGTCTGTGACAGGAAATGTTAAACTTTGTGTTTCTCAGGGAGAGCGAGTGTTTGACTTGTGTTATCCACGCCATAACATGAACTGGGGATAAATCGTATTAGGTTAAATTTCTGCGTTGTTAATTTGTTGCGGTCCGCGTTATTTGTGGTGTGCTGATGTGTCCCACGGACTGCTATCAGCTAATACTGGATTCATTTGCATTGCATTTAATTATTTTCTCAGTCAAGAATATTTGGTACCCCAGCACGTTCAATTATGTGAGGTCCTAAAATTATGACACCAATTTTAATGACTATACTGCCTTCAGTCCGTTCCGCTGAGTATCGATTTCTTTTTTTTGTTGTATACTTAGCAATTATGACCTTTCATCCGTAACAGACATTTCTGAACACGCGCTGCTGTCCAGGTTGGTAAGTCTGTAATAGGACGCGCGCAACATAGCTAAAGATGTGCCCATTTGGGAGGTCACTGAATTGAATTGAATTTTGAAACCGGCCACGACCCTTCAGGTACAACACTTTCCGCTTCTCCGAATGTGATAAAAATTATGCCATTCAAAGCTCAGTGACATCCGCAGTTGATACAGCATAATGAAATAGCGTACACTAACCGAACTGCGCATGCGTTACTCTCTCACTAGATGGGTCGTACTTGTTGACGAGTTTTGATTCGATGTCGACGAAGAACAGAACTCCGGTTTCTGAATCCCAGTGGGGGCCTTCGCCGTGCACCACAGGCCCTGTCACTGGCGTCACGGAGGGACTAGCCCCTTCACAGAACCTGCCGAGAAATAAGACGAAAGTAGCTTAAAGTAGGATGGAAAGTTTTGTAAAAATTTTGTGTCTGCGTACAATTTCTCATAAAACGTGGCGGGAGCTTCGTCTCGGAATTGGATGTGACGCGACTACGCGCTCGGATAGAAGCAGCTTAGAATTACGTAACGCGCGCACACAACCGCTTCAATGACATTCACTTTCACTTTTTCCTGCTTCGCCGCGGCTCGGGTCTGAGATTCAGGAGGAGACAAACATTAAAAAGAAACAGATAAACTAAGCGGGCAACTTCGGACTGCGGCCATGTTTAAAAAGAAACAGATAAACTAAGCGGGCGACTTCGGACTGCGGCCATGTCCTGAAGGTAAAGCTCATTTGACTTCCGTGTCTGCAGAAAATTAATGACTGCCCCTTCATAAACCAACCCCCCCCCCTTGCCCCTAATGCTTGTTCCAAAACCAAATTCGCATATTAAGAAGGTCTGCAACTGCATTCAACATTTTCCTTCCGTGAGATCAGTGGAGCTCTGATTTAATTTCGTTTTAAATTTATAATAAATTACGCTTCTTCGACTCGAGTTCTCGGTACCAAATTGCACTCAAGCCGCGTCATGAGTCCTCGTGGCGATTCACAAAATGCGAGCTGTTCGACGTCGCATTTGCAAGCGCCCCCGAGACTTCGCCCTTCATTTATCTCGGCGGGTTCCTCCTAGGACAACGCGAGCCACGTACCTGCCGAGGACCAGGAACAGAAGCACGACGCCTCTGCAATTCGCCATCTCCACGTTTCGACTGAATTTCGGCCGGGCGAAACGTCGCGCTTTATAGGACACCAAGTGCCGGAGGGTTCCTGTTTGCTCAGCTGTAGCACAAAAACATTTGCGTAATGTCAGGGGTAACCAAGACGTGAGTCGTGCAAAAACGAGGCCACAGCTGTCGGGACCCCACTTCAATCAGGGACAGGCGAACCGACGCTTTTGAGACTACGCGGTCCTCCTCTCTCTCTCTCCGTTCCTCTCTTCCGCTTTATTTTCTCCAGTTTCTCCTTATCTTATTGCTTCCATCTTCATGTCCTCCTGCTCCGCTTTGATCACTCTTATTTTCTCCAGTTTCTCCTTATCTTACTGCTTCCATCTTCATGTCCTCCTGCTTCGCTTTGATCACTTGATGTTTTGAACGTAGCCTAACCTAACCTTTCGTTCCGGTCAGCGTGAAACTGTTTCGACACTCTTCGTCCTCTCGCTGTGCCGAAACGACGAATTTCACAGGGACCCAAATTAAACTTCAGCGCTCGATCGATAAATAAGCCTTTCGTCTTTAATTCACGTCACGTCACGTTCTCGGGGCAGCAATTATACAAATATGGCCGCCTTCCGGGTTGTTCCGCCGCGCAGAACTTTACCGACGTTTAAGAAGTGCTTGCTGCCCCCATCAAGACGCCTCTGAAACGTCGGTAAACCTCTACCAGGCTACACGGCGCGAGAACTACGTATTTAAATCGCGTATTCTTGTCTCGGTGGGAAAAATTAAGTTTCGATATATCGATTCCAGAAAGTCGCAAAACTGTTGTGTCCGTGGCCTAAGCCGTTTTCGTCCTGGCACTTCACGAACGGAACCCAAAACCCGAAGCCTCTTCAGGGCGGATTAGTTAGGAAGACGTTCACGGGCTTCAACTCCACGTTTTTCTGTTTCGTCTTCATCCCCTAGGGATTAGGCTGTCCCGCTACTTGGATGTTAAGGACGCGTGCGAAAAGCAACTTCTTCGTTAACCGGGTCTGCCACATTTGACTTAAAACATCCGCACTTTTCGTATCTTCAGTTCATTTTCTAGCCAATTTCTTCAGACAGGAATTTGTAATTTGTTTATTTTCTTCTTGGGAGCATGTGTAGACTTCTTTATATATCGTGAGCTTCGTGTTGTTGTTGTTATTATTTAATTGGTGCCGGCTGTGTGTAGTGAAGAATAAGAAGGCCTTTGCCCCACAGAGAAATGTCGCAGTTCGAAAGCATTTGAAACTCTGAAATGTTGGTTAGTCACCGGGACTTCGAGGCTCTCGCTCTGTCCGAGTGGACATCCTTGAGCTGCAGAAAATGTCTCCAGCAGTTTGCCCCCCTGCGTTCGTCACAGGCCGTGCAAGTGGCACAATTCGCTGGTGCTCACGAAAAAACTTGCGATAAAGACACGTGACAGAACAACAACCGCTCTAGCGCCTTCGCAATGCGACACGTTCGAACAGACGCCTGCTGATACGGTTAGAAAATCCTTGACAGACTTTAACTACTCCTTTCGTTCACAAATGGCTGCACACTGGAACGTCGCCAAAAATAAGAAGAACTACAACGCTGATGTTAGGTGTGACGTGTTTTGACAGCTGGCACTTGTAAGTAATGGTTTCCACCTGTTCCCATAAAGTACCTTCAACATGTGGCTCGCGAACAGGATGAAGCAGCTAAGTCCAAATGCCTTGTTTTGCACAGAAACATAAAAACAACGTAAATGTGTGGACTCATTATTCTTCCACGAGTGTTCTGTTGTAATGCAAGGACGAACGCCCCCATGGGCCACAGAGCGGGGAAATTAAAAAAAGAAAAAGCAACTAACTCCATGCAGCAGTCCTTCCCGCCTTCTATGGTATCAAAAGGGAAATCACCGCCATCACCGGAGCCCGTCCCCCGTTACCACCTTGACCCAGATGTATCCAATCCAGGCCCTCCAGCCATCCATATTAATATTATCCTTGGCCTTCTAAGAGGTCTTTTCCACTCAGGATTTCCGTTTGTTAGCGTCCAGCAACCGAATGAACAAGGCACGAGCACAACGAGTAGTCTTCCAGGACAACTTGACCCTACACTACACAGGATGAACAGAATTCAGTCTTCTGTTTTGCCCGGATTCCAAATCGAGACCTTCAACTACCATGGACCCTTCAGTCCGTGACCACCATGATTCAGCATCTTTCAGGGCACAGTCACCACACAATATCACTCTCAGTAGAGATCTACGCGATTGGTGTCGATAAAAAGGTCGGGGCATCTTTTATCATTCCTTAGCACAGGGGCACTCGCGAGGCCTCTTCTTGTTCACATAACCAAATAAATGAAAATCCTAGTCAGATGTCACAATGGTTCACTTAATGTTGCAGACTTCGGTATAAGCCTCGCTAAAAAATTCGCATGAGCCAAGAACTTCCGAACGACTTCTATATTCCATGGTGCTCAAATTCTTGCACCGCTTTGGCATTGAAATCAGCTCGACTAACCACGAACCTAGTCTCTCTATTCCAGATCCACATCTGACCTTGGTTAAAGTCGTGCTTAACTCGCATATCTGCTTCCAGTCTAAGATCATGTTCCGCCTTGGAAGCTCCGTAATACACATCATCAGAGCACATGGCAGTCCGCTCACAAGGTGAAAAGCACATCGCATGCAACTGGCAGTTTGTGCATTCAATCTCCCCATCTTGGATGAGACAGAGCGCTGCCTAGGACCAACATGGTTTTCACGTCTTCAGAAGGAATCTTCGGCGCCTCAGTCTGAAATTGCTAGCAAGGAGCTAAAAATTCTGATTCTTTACAACTCTCAGAATTATAACTTGGCTCTCCAGAAAGAATTTAAGAAGATAGTTATGATGTTTTTCCTTGCACTGTGTGGTCTGTTGACCCCTGACTATTAATTAATTGTGTACTGATTAAGCTGCAGTTTCTTAAATGACGCTGCTTCTAGCAAGCTACACATTTCTGCTTTCAGGAAATATTAAGATGAACCTAACAATCGAAAGTGGGCTGGACCCTTCTTGCTGCAGGTTTCACGCAAAAGAAGGGTAAGAAACAGGTGCACTTTGTCTCCATACACAGCATTAACAGACTCGTTCTTGGGGTTCCAAAGAATGTACTTCCTTCTTCAGGAGGGTTCTGTAAGCAACTGGCTTAAGTTCAGGTATCAATACTATAGACGCCAATTCGCCGACATTCGCAAAACTTGGTGTAAATAACATGCCTTTGGAAATATTCGCAGCTCGTTACATTTAACATGATGTCATCAACAACATTACCTGACAACTACTGAGGTGAGTTAACACCAGAGCCATTCAATGTAGCGTAAAGACGTGTGCGTGTTGGGGTGAGTGACGGCGGGCAGAACTACAACCGACATAATAAATCATTGTAGCTTGACACAATATATTTATATGGTTACATGTTACACACACGTTTACTAAATTATCAACTGGCGCTAGAACTTGGAAGTTACGAGAACCAACGAAGTCCTTCTTTCTGTCACTTGCTCATACTGACTTAGCTCAGCTTAATATTACATTTTATCATCCCTTCTATTCTTTCTCAGGGGCTGGCTCTGGACTGGACGACCAGGGATCAGACAGGCTCTGGGGCCCACCCAGCCTCCCGTCTAATGGGTACAGTGCGGCCGGGGCGTGACGCTGACCACTCACCCGTCTAGTGCAGAGTTTGAGAATGAGTAGGAGCTATACAGCAGGACAGCTTCACTTCATACATAGTAAGACCTTCAGTCTAGAACCTGTGAGCTGCTATTACCATTCACATTATTTACAGCAAAATTAAGCTACTTACTAAAATATAAGAAAAAGTTCTGAGCCATTCCTTATAATAAGCAAGATGAAATAAAGTTTAGGTATTAACGGTATTATAGAACGTGGAATAACTAAAAATTAAGTCGCACTGAATCACGCATGAAAATTCCATTGCAATTCACAATATGTGCCATGCAAACGAGTGTTCACATACGCGCACTGTACAGACGTAAGGAACTACTCCAATGTGATGACTTCCACACTGTCGCCAACCGTACTGCCATGTTTTTCATTCATCTTCTGTTCTTTCTGCTTGACTGCACTGGGTCCCCCAATCCTTTTTGATCCTTGACTTCCAGTCGATAATTTTCTGCCTATTTCTGTTATTGAAACGGAGTCCTTAAATTTCTTGGCACTCGATCGGAAACAATCTCCTCCGCCTGAGCCCTGTCTCCCTTGCTGCCCGCCACTGAAGTTTCCATCTGAAGTGCCTTGCTGCTTGGCGGTGATCGTTATTGAAGAAGGAATTGTGACGGGTAAGTCTAGTGTTGGTGGTTTTGCGATCACTTCCAACTCAGAGCTTTGCTGATGAAGACGACTCAACATGCAAATGCTAGAAGCCGCTGAATTGGAGGGCGTGACCGTAATCTCGTGCCCAATTTTCCGCAATGGTATGGGGCTCCTGCAGCCTTTAGTTCCACTCTGGTTCTTATAAATGCTAGAAGGACTCAAATCTTTATTTTCAGGACTTTTATTTTTGGTAACAGCCGATTCACTAATTTCACTTCTTTGCACAAATGGATTTGAGGTTTTTGGAGTGGTTTGAGTGTCTTTATAAATGGAGAGGTCTTGTCCAATTCCACTGTTTGCACTTCTCGGTACAGCGATCATCTGCGTCTGACCGCTCTTAATGGAAGGACCAGTAGCTGAAGTAGTTGACAGTTTACAACCACTGCTCTGGTTTCTCGGCCCCAGGGCAGCCGCCATCCTCGAAGCGATGTCACGACTACAGTCCGACCTGCCTGGCATCTTGGAACCACCACTATGACTATGTTTGAAAGGAGGTGTTATATTCATTACATCTTTAGACACGCCTGTCTGATCCTCAGTTTCATTTCCTTGCGACGGAGATACGGCACATTTACGAAAGTTCATGAGCTTCGAAGTTGATGGTTTTGTTGATGCTGTAGCACTGACAGGTGTGGAGGTGACTTGACTGATGGACACTCCTGCTGTCAGCATTCCTTCACCGCCTTTGAGTAGGGAAATATATGGATTAGGATTAGAAGGCTTTTGTGGCTGGGGACTGAACAAAACCTGATCTTTAGGGGGTGTATATGGTGAAGCAGTCACTTTCAAAGGTAACTGAGCTACAGACGTAGACACCTGGGAACTTGCCTTGGAGACGGAAAGCGAAACATTGGAAACAGAAGAACGGTTGCTAGCAGACTTCGCTAATGCCTGTGAAGCTTGGAGTTTCTGCTGGAGAGAAGGCATTAACTGATTGTTCTTACTGTGGCGGTATTTTGTTGTTAACGGCGATGTTGAAGGGCTGGAATTGCAAGGAACCAATGACTGAGCAGGTGGCAGAGGAGTTATGGATATACTAGTTGGAAGAGAAGTAGAAGGCTTCTGTGTACACTGTGGATTGGCAAGAGCCGAGATTCCTTTATTTCCTACAGAACTGCTTTCATGAGACTTGACTGCTTCAGACTCTTTCTGTCGCTGACTTGAAGGAATACTTGGAATTACAGATGGAGCGACACTGCCTGTACTGGTTGAAAAGTGACGGAGAAATTCTGCTTGGTAACCGCCGATATGAGCGTGTAAATTCAAAAAATTAAGAGCAGCAACTTGTTGGTCTAACATGGCAGGTGCTTTTGATTGGACAGCCGCAGTGATGAGAGACGGATCCGAGAAGAGTGTGTGAAAGGGATAATATGGCAAAGTTGGTGTTGACATATTTTGAGGTATTATGGGTCCAAACTGCTGAGGGGGCACCTTTTGTATGCTGCAACGAGAACTTGAATACTGCGATTTTGAACTGTGTGGCGCGATGGTTCCGCTGACGTGGACGTTCAGAGGTCGACCGCGAGATCGAGGCAGTGACTGAGTAGACGAATAATTTGAGGAAACTGCTGGTTTCACTATCGGTGTTACTGTCTTTCGTTGCTGATGTGTAGTCACGTTGGTACTGGCCCCCGTAACAGTTGGCGGCGTGGCGGTGACAGGCTGAGGGAAAGAAGGAACGGTCTCACACAACTCTATACAGACAAAACAATTGAACACTGCGATGGCATAAAAAGAGTTCTGAAGTGAGAGCTTAACAAGGCATACCAGTGGGACGGTGTGTTAGACTTCAGAGCTTAACAAGGCATACCAGTGGGACAGTGTTTTAGACTGTGCTGCCATATGAGGGGAACTGGATTTTGCCTGAGTGAACTTGTCAGCACAAGCACAATCAGCAACCATGATGGAATTCACCAGTAAATTAATGTGTGTATGCCACGGAAACGTATTTTAGAATGAAATCTATGGTGCACATGCAAAGACATGTAAGACGTAAACATAATATTTTGAGAAATGGAAGAATTGTGAAGCAAGATACAATACTAGCCCTCAATGTCATATGATATTTAATTTTTACTCGGTCCTGGAGATTGAGGAATTTTAAAAATTACAGCTTCAAAATGCAAAATTTCATTCAAACAGCAATAAGTTAGCAAGATATGAAAATCCATGGTCTCTTAGGCATGTATGTAGCGCCAGTCTGAAATCATGGATTTGTCACCTTGATAAATGAAACAGAGCCACTTTCTGAAAAGCTGTGGCATCCAAAGCATTAGCTATGTTACACTATCACCCCAGAATCCTTCAAACTTAGTATTTAAAATAGTTCTGTGAATGTTTTAAATGACAGTCCACCTGGCTCACGGTTGTAGGCACTGGGGCTGTGACAGGGGCATGAGCTGCAGCCCGACTGGCAATGATCTCTTGCTGGCTGAAACGTATCACCTGATCCAACACTGCCGTCTCTACCTACAAAGCACCAGACGAACACCAACATAAATTACTCACTATTGAAACAAATGACGGTACACATGAAATTTCACTGAAAGGAATCCAGTCATAAGAAACTGCACTTGCATGAAGAACGCATAATAAGGGAGTAGCCAGAATGATATTCTGCATACAGAATTATTCAGAAATTTAAAGCAAAGAAGAAATAAAAGGCTTATGAAATATAAATGCATTTTTTGCAGAACAAACCTTTGCGTGTTGTTTATATGCTTCAGACAGCAGTGATGCAAAAACCGATTCCTTCTGTGGAAGATACCTTTGGACACGCTGGTATGCTCGGTACATTTCCACTACCAGCCCGCTTGTTATGGGTCCCTCACGAAGTTTTGCTCGTAGAGCCTGCAGTGCCAGGGTCAATGCCTGACGACACAATTGCTCCCTTTCAGAATCACGAAGGTACTTCCTGTAAAGATTAAGTAGGACAGGAAGAAAATAGATTTGTACTTATAAAAGCTTCATGTTTCTACAGCAGTAATTTTCAAGCTAAAATTCAGTCAGGAAGATTGCAACAAAGGAAAAGGGATGCCTCCGGGCAGATAGCACTGAGCAGAATGACATGAGGGACCACAAAATTGTGGTGACAGAATATTAAATGTTTGTATTTTGAGACCTACATGCCACCCACTATTTAACACACGAGACCTACATGCCACCCACTATTTAACCTGTGCACACACTGTCAGGACATTTATTAATTAACCTCCAGGCTTAAAGTGTTAATTTACTTTACATCCTTCTGCATGATAGGGTAGTACTGTACGTCCAGTAATTGCTTTCTACACAATTTAAAACACTTGTTGTAAAATCAGTGACAATTCAAACTCATACAAATATTCAGTAAGATCATGGAGATTGGTTTCTGCGCATAAAAACACACGCATGCCCATCAAAAGCAGAATGAAATAAGCTGAAAATTTCCAGAACATGCAACTGTAACAACGCTAATAAACTAACTTGTCAGCTTCTGGAGTGCGCCTCAGCTGCAGACAGAGCTCCAGTAACATCCTGTGATCTCGAATCTCCCTCAACACTTCCATGAGCAGCAGAACGCAACGGCTCATGTGAGAGGCAAAACTTCCTGGGCGGTCGATCTCAGACACTGGTATGCGCCATACGCCCTGTTCCATGATAATTTTTTTTGTAACACTAACAGACAGCCAAATAATGCAGACACATTCAGAGGAAAATTACTTTCGGTCAGGTTTAATAATTTATATAATTAATTACAATTTGAGGGTACAAGAGGCAGTGACTCGCCTCACAAAGCGTCCCGTACCAGAACACCAGCTGCACCCTGTTCCTACCGATGTGGCTCTGGTGACCAAGACACAGTATTATAACCATTACAACAACTTTGGAGGAAATGCAAAATGTCTCTCTTGATACAGCGAACTCCCAATTATCCGTGCACAACTTCCTTTACACATAAATGTAGACATGTGTGAACTAGAATTTGACATCATTCCATGCCATACTGCCTGGTTTAGGGAGGGGGCATTTGGTTTTGGGACAGTCTGCAGAAGATATGGTTTTTGGTGTTTTACGGTCAGTTTCCATGGTGTGGTTCGGAGGCTGTAAAAAAATAAGTTACTTCGTGAAGGTCTGTGAATGCACCAAACAAAATATTTTGGATTATTTGTGCACCGTCTCCCCAACAACAGCCTGGATAATCAGGAGTTTACTGCGTGTGCATCTGTT